ATCACTTAAAGCTACCAGGGAGGCAGAAATTGCACTGAGGCGCTATCGTGCCATTGCACTCCAGCAGGGATGACAAAAATGAAACTCCATTAATTTTTTTTTTTTTAATTAATTTTCTAGGAGGTGTTGTGGGGCAGGTCTTGCTATGTTACCATGCTGGCCTCAGACTCCTGGCCTCAAGTGATCTCGCTTTAGCTTCCCAAGTTGCTGGGATTATAGGTGCAAGACATAGTGCCTGGTTCCATAGGCCTGCTCTTGAACTTCGGCTGTATGGTGGGGTCCTCTACTACCTACTGCCAAGCAGGTGCAAAGCTGAATGGTGACTCCAGGCCTAGAAACTCTACTACTCTCTTTCTTTCTCTTTTTGAGATGGAGTCTCGCTCTGTCGCCCAGGCTAGAATACAGTGGCACGATCTTGACTCACTGCAACATCCAGTTCTCGGGTTCAAGGGATTCTTCCTGCCTCAGTCTCCTGCATAGCTGGGACTACAGGTGCGCGCCACCACCCCGGCTAATTTTTGTATTTTTAGTAGAGACGGGGTTTCACCATATTCACCATTTCACCTCCACCATATTGGTCAGGCTGGTCTTGAACTCCTGACCTCATGATCCACTTGCCTCAGCCTCCCAAAGTGCTGTGATTACAGATTTGAGCCACCACACCCGGCCTAGAGATTGGGTCTTAACAGAGGTAATCACTGAAAATAAGGTCTTTGGGGTGGGCCTTATTTCAGTATAACTGGTGTTCTTAAAATGATGTGAAGATATAGGGAGAAGACTGCCCTTTACAAGCTAGGGAGAGACCCAGAACAGATCTTTCCCTCACCACTCTCAGAAGGAACCAACACTTGGTTTCTCTAGAACTGTGAGAAAATAAATTTCTAGACTGGGCGCAGTGGTTCATACCTGTAATCCCAGCAGTTTGGGAGGCCCAGATGGGCTGATCACTTGAGCTCAGGAATTTCAGAGCAGCCTGGCCAACCCCATCTCTACAAAAAATAGAAAAATCAGTTGGGATGGAGAAATCCCATCTCTACTCAAAATATAAAAAATTAGCCAGGCATGGTGGTGCATGCCTGTAATCCCATCTACTTGGGAGGCTGAAGGAGAAGGGCTTGAACTTGGGAGGTCGAGGTTGCAGTGAGCCAAGATCACACCACTACACTCCAGCCTGGGTGACTGAGTGAGACTCTGTTTCAAAAAAAAAAAAAGAAAAATCAGCTGGGTGTGGTGGCACATACTTATAACCTCAGTTACTTAGGGGTCTGAGGCGGATATATATATACCCAAGTGCAGTGGCTCATGCCTGTAATCCCAGTAATTTGTGAGGCTGAGACAGGCGTATCACCTGAAATTAGGAGTTCGAGACCAGCCTGGCCAACATGGTGAAACTCCATCTCTACTACAAATACAAAAAGCTAGGCGTGGTGGTGCCTACCCCTAGTTCCAGTGGCTCTGGAGGCTCAGGCACAAAAATCGCTTGAACCCGGGAGGCAGAGGTGGCAGTGAGCTGAGATTGAGCCACTGCACTCCAGCCTGGGTGACAGATCAAGACTCTGGCTCAAAAATAAAACAAAACAAACAACAAAAAGTATACAGGAGGATGTACATAGGTTATATGCAAGTACTTCACCATGGTTACATTTAATATTAATTTTCTTTTCTTTTTTTTTTTTTTTGAGACAGAGTTTTGCTCTTGTCACCCAGGCTGGAGTGCAATGGTACAATCCCGGCTCACTTCAACCTCCACCTCCTGGGTTCAAGTGATTCTCCTGCTTCAGCCTCCCAACTAGCTAGAATTATAGGTGCCCACTACCATGGCCAGATAATTTTTGTATTTCATTTTTTATTTTTTTTGAGATGGAGTCTTGCTCTGTTGCCCAGGCTGGAATGCAGTGGCACAACCTCGGGTCACTGCAACCTCCTCCTTCGGGGTTCAAGCAATTCTCCTGCCTCACCCTCCCGAGTAGCTGGGATTACAGGTGCCTGCTACAACGCCCGGCTAATTTTTGTATTTTTAGTAGAGACAGAGTTTCACCATGTTGGCCAGACTGGTCTTGAACACCTGACCTCTGGTGAACCACCTGCCTCGGCCTTCCAAAATGCTGGGAGCCACCATGCCCAGCCCATATTTTTATTTTCATTTTTAATTTATATTTGTATTTTTATTTATTTATTTTTAAGACGGGGTTTCACCATGTTGGTCAGCCTGGTCTTGAACTCCCGACCTCAGGTGATCCACCCTCATTGGCCTCCAAAGTGTTTGGATTACAGGCGTGAGCTACCATGCCAGGCCATTTTGATTTTGATTTTATTTATTTTTTTGAGATGGAGTTTTACTCTTTCGCCCAGGTTGGAGTGAAGTGGGGCGATCTCGGCTCACTGCAGTCTCTGCCACTGAGTTCAAGCCATTCTCCTGCCTCAGCCCCTGGAGTAGCTGGGATTACAGGCACCCACCACCATGCCCAGCTAATTTTTGTATTTTTACTAGAGACAGGGTTTTGCCATGTTTACTAAGTTGGTCTCAAACTTCTGACCGTAGGTGATCCATGATCCCCCGACCTAGGCCTCCCCACTAGCATTACAGGCATGAGTCACTGCACCCAGGTTCACTTTTGTATTTTTTTGTGTGTGTAATTTTTGTATTTTTTAATAGAGATGGGGTTTTACCATGTTGGCCAGGCTGGTCTTGAACTCCTGAACTCAGATGATCTGCCCGCCTCGGCCTCCCAAAGTGCTGGGATTACAGGAGGCCACTGTGCCTGGCCTGTTTTCTTTTTTTTTTTTTGAGATGGAGTTTCACTCTTGTTGTCCAGGCTGGAGTGCAATGGCATGATCCTGGCTCAGTACAACCTCCACCTCCTGGGTTCAGAGATTCTCCAGCCTCAGCCTCCCAAGTAGCTGGGATTACAGGCATGCACAACCATGCCCGGCTAAGTTTTGTATTTTTAAGACAAAAATTTCACCATGTTGGTCAGACTGGTCTTGAACTCCTGACCTCAGGTGATCCACCTGCCTCAGCCTCCCAACGTACTGGGATTACAGGCGTGAGCCACCATGCTCAGACCCTGGCTGCTTTTATGCAACAATGGCAGAGCTGAGCAGTAGCAACAGACATGGTTTGGCCTGTAAGCCTAAAACACTAACTCTGGCCCTTGATAGAAATTTGCTGAGCCCTGGTCTAGACAGTGCTGCAGAGCAGGTGGGGAGCTAGGAGACAGACTGGAAAACTGATGAGAGGGTTTCAGAATGGAAGGTGGTTCATAAAATTTGAAGGAATATGGTTATTTGTTGAGTTGAAGGCCTGGAGGAAAAGTGCTTTCTGAAACAGACTTCTAACTAAAGACCTCATCCCATCCCCACATAATGAGCACTTTTTTTTTTTTGAGATGGAGTTTCGCTCTTGTTACCCAGGCTGGAGTGCAATGGCACAATCTCGGCTCACCGAAACCTCTGCCTCCTGGGTTCAGGCAATTCTCCTGCCTCAGCCTCCCGAGTAGCTGGGACTACAGGCTGCGCCACCACGCCCAGCTGATTTTTGTAATTTTAGTAGAGACGGGGTCTCACCATGTTGACCAGGATGGTCTCGATCTCTTGACCTTGTGATCCACTTGCCTCGGCCTCCCAAAGTGCTGGGATTATAGGTGTGAGCCACTGCACCCGGCCAATGAGCACTTTTAATGGCTAGCTCAATTTTTTTTTTGAGATGGAATTTTGCTCTGTTGCCCAGGCTGGAGTACATGGTGCAATCTCGGCTCACTGCAACCTCCACCTCCGGGGTTCAAGTTATTCTCGTGCCTCAGTCTCCTGAATAGCTGGGACTACAGGTGCATGCCACTATTCCCGGCTAATTTTTATATTTTTAATAGAGAGGGGGTTTCACCATGTTGGCCAGGCTGGTCTTGAACTTAGCTCATCATTTTATTATTTTTTAGAGACAGGGTCACACTCTGTTGCCCAGGCTGGAGTGCAGTGGCATGATCATAACTCACTGCAGCCTCGAATTCCTGAGCTTAAGCAATTCTCCCACCTTAGCCTCCAAAGTACCTGTGACTAGAGGCCCAAGTATTTTTTTTTTTTTTTTTTTTTGAGACGGAGTTTCGCTCTTGTTACCCAGGCTGGAGTGCAATGGCACGATCTCGGCTCACTGCAACCTCCGCCTCCTGGGCTCAGGCAATTCTCCTGCCTCAGCCTCCTGAGTAGCTGGGATTATAGGCACGCGCCACCATGCCCAGCTAATTTTTTGTATTTTTAGTAGAGACGGGGTTTCACCATGTTGACCAGGTTGGTCTCGATCTCTTGACCTCGTGATCCACCCGCCTTGGCCTCCCAAAGTGCTGGGATCATAGGCGTGAGCCACCGCGCCCGGCCGAGGCCCAAGTATTTAAAAAAAATTTCTGGCCGGGCGCAATGGCTCACGCCTGTAATCCCATCACTTTGGGAGGCCGAGGCAGGTGGATCACGAGGTCAAGAGATTGAGACCATCCCGGTCAACATGGTGAAACCCCATCTCTACTAAAAATACAAAAAATTAGCTGGGCATGGTGGTGTGTGCCTGTAATCCCAGCTACTCAGGAGGCTGAGGCAGGAGAATTGCCTGAATCCAGGAGGTGGAGATTGCAGTGAGCTGAGATCGTGCCATTGCACTCCAGCCTGGGTAACAAGAGCGAAACTCCGTCTCAAAAAAAAAAAAAAAAAAAAAAATTTTGTAGAGATGAAGTCTCACTATGTTGTTCAGACTGGTCTTAAACTCCTGGCCTCAAGTGATTCTCCCGCCTCGGCTTCCCAAAGCACTGATATTATTGGCGTGAGCCACCATGCCCTGACCCCAGCTCATCATTTTGTACACAAGACATCAGATTCATCAGAGCTAAAGATGCTCAATAGCATTTTAACTTTAAATATTCTGTAGAAAAGGCCTATGTGGGCAAAGTATAAGATTATTAAATTGATGTAGTGTACAATTAAAATTACATATTCACAAAAAGAGGATAGAGAAATTTAAATGCACTGACATTTTTATTTCTTGCAACCTGAGTTAAATCCAGATTTTCTTTCCTACAGAATGCAAAAAAGATATCCACAAGGCAATTCCACTAAGTTACAAATTAGATGTTAGAAAACTTCCTTGAAGGAGAGTGCACTATTTTTTGTTAGTAGCACACTTAACACATAATCAACCTTAAGTTAGAAATACTTTTTTTTTTTTTTTTTGAAGGCACAGTTTGTTTCCAGCTCAACTGTGGAAATCAAAATCTGTCTTACAGACCCGATCTGGCAAGAAGGATGAATTAACTGGTTTCGTCTGCAGTACCAAATTCCATCCAGTCATCCCAGCCCTAGCACCTTTGCTTGTCTCCATATGTATCTAGTCTAGAGCGTAGCATTTTTTTGTTGATCCCAATCATCATGTGAAAAGATTCTGGAGCTGTCTTATGTCTTCATTCTCTATGAAAATGCAAGTAACTCATTTATAACGTAGCATCAGCAACCAGGCCTTCCTGGGCATGGCAGTGGGGAAGAGGTGGCAGAAAGGACCAGGTGGCAGTCCTGTAGCTTAGGGGCAGTCCCTCAGCACAGGCCATAGAACAAGAGGGTCTGAATAAGAACAGGACAAAATGCCCCTAAAATGTCAGAGGAAGACAAATTTCCAAAAAAGTGAAGGCAGTTCTCCTTCCATATACTTGGGGTGAAAAAAAAAAAAAACAGAGAACGGGGGGTGACTGGCTTCATCAGTCCAGCAAGATAGGGAAGGTGCATAAAATAAGATGTTATTATGCTTCAAGTCAGTTGAATCACTCATTTCATTATGCAAGTGGAAGACTGCTGAGAATGTCTGGCAGTGGCCTTTACGTGTATCTATTTTAAATAATTAGCTTAGGTCTGAGGTATAATGACTAATCTCCACGAGTCTGCCTGATGGTGATAAAGAGAAACAGTTACGACATACATGGAAGGTGTTGGAGGAAAGAACCGGAAACAATTACAATAAGTGGAACTGCACAAAAGCCTTTTGCTCTGCTTCCTGGATTCATGCTTTTGAGCAGCCTTTTTGCTGAAAGCCTCATGAAATAGTTTTGAGTTAAGTATTATGTTTAAAATTTCCCTCTTACCAGTTATTGAGAGAATAATAATGCCGAGCTCATCTAGTAAACAAACGTCTAGTTTGATAAGCACCAAGCCTTCACACCCTGGGAGGGTTAATGACATGGATCAGAATCCCTGAGGTGGCTGGAATGTGACCGGTTTGTAGCACATAAAGCTCTGCTTGCCTATAGAGGTTGTGGATATTTTTAGGAAGGTCATGCATTATGGAATGGAAACTTTATTTATTTACTTATTTGAGATGGAGTCTCACTCCATCGCCCAGGCTGGAGTACAGTGGCATGATCTTGGCTCACAGATTCAAGCAGTTCTCCTGCCACCATGCCTGGCTAATTTTTGTATTTTTAGTAGAGACAGGGTTTCACCATCTTGGCCAGGCTGGTCCTGAACTCCTGATCCACCCACTTTGGCCTCCCAAAGTGCTGGGATTACAGGTGTGAGCCAGCACACCTGGCCTGGGATGAAAACTTTTATAAACACATTGCTACGTAGAAATGAATGTGCTGTTGCAGCACTTACAGAGCTCTCCTTTGCTTTGAGGCACCACTGTTTACAGGCTGCAGACTGTAAAGTACTGGGAAATGGCACAGGTCACATGGGCCAGTACCATGTTTTAAGGTCAAAGGCACTGTTATTTTTAACAGTGACCTATCTCATTATTAAAATCAGTCGCTTTCACCATCTTCAAAGTATTTTGTTTTTTAAAAAGACAAGGGCCTGTGGCTCCAACTATTTTGTTAGATGTACTAACAAAGAAATTAATTTTAATTGATGTTTCTAAATGATTCCTTTTGTAAAACGATAGGAGAAAATGAACTGGGCCAGTTAAAATGGTATCTGGGCCTTTTCCCCCCTTAGCCAAATCCTTCTATACAAAGTCAGCATCATTTGTAGAGTTCCAGTCCTAAAACTGGGTGGCAGAGAAATAAGTGATGATTCAAGTTACCTTGCAAAAAGTGCAGAAGAGTGGGTGGGAGTGCTGGAGACCCCAGGTACTAAATAAACATTTTGTCCTACTGAGGCCTGCCTAATGGTGATTCTCAGAGGGGTGGAGGAAGACTACTGCACAGCCACATCTGTGTGACACTCCATTCCCACATACTCTTTTGGGTGCCCCTGCCGGTCACAGCCTGGCAGCCTCGAGCCAGTGGAAGACCTGTTCCCAATCACAGGAGAGTTCCAGATGAGAGCACATGGGGAAGAGGGGCTCAGCCAATTCCCTGCACATTTCTAGGAGTCACAGTGAGTAGCACTGGTCTCTACTAACACGCATGCCAAGGATTGGAGGCTGGAGGGAAGTGGGGACATCTGCCAACGAGAGCAAAGAACATAACACACTCCATTTCCCATTCTAATACTGATCCTTTCCAGGAGATGAAAGAATAAGACGTGTTTGGACAGAGTGTGTGTGTGTGTGTATGACTGTATGTGTACATGTGTGTGAATGACGACTCCTAAACAAAGGTGTGGGAAGGACCTTCCTCTACCAAATGACTGGCTCACGTGCCCCCTTAACACTCTGACTCATAGTAAGGCTTAGGAATAAGAAATAGAGGCTCGTGGCTGTAAGACTGAAATTCCATCTGCATCTTTCCATACGCTCATTAAAGTGAGAAATGCAACTCTTCTTATTCCCATCTGGTAATCAAATACCCAAGATATGCAGGGCCAGGCTATTGTGCTCAGACTGAAACTCTAAGCATTTTGCTGGAAGAAATTGTCGAGGTGTTAACCCTAGGAAAATGTGGAACAAACACTTCCTTATAACCGCAAAATGTCTTAAGATCTACTCTAACATTTGCAAACACACATTAATTTACATACTAAAACAGTAAATGAAATTTCTTGGAAGTTCAAAAAAAGATCTTTCAAATCTTTTTCATCACAACAGTGGAAATCCATCTGTCTTCAGAGTTGTCGAACTTTTCTTTCTGTACTTTTTATGTTGACATCTAACTTGTCCACTTTGGTTGTCAGCCGGTCAAGAATGTCATCTTGCTCCTCAATTTCCGTCTGGATCCCCAGGGCTATGTCCTTCAGACGGCCCAATCCCATGGACAGCTCATCTGTTGGGGAAGGAAATGATACGCAGGCCTGAGCAAACACAGTCTCAGCACATGCAAATGCTTCCTGATGGTGTGGGTAAGGAGGAGAGACATGCCGAGGAATCTGTCGCCTGGTGGGACTGCACTTACTGCAGAGATGAGTCTTGACTTAACTGATTATATCAGGGTAAATAGAAAAGCCTTTTTCCCAGGTTTGTGACTGTGTGTTTGTGCACGCTGGGGTAGGGAGACATGCCCAGGGCTGCTTTCTGCCTTTTTTCTAAGAACAGCAGCCAGGAAAGAGCCAGAGGGGAGGGAGAAGTGGTGGTGCTTTGTAAGCCTTCTTATTTGCAAGATGAAATATAAAACACTAAGCGAAAAAAGGTCAGGATAAACAAATGCCTAGCATTGGCACCACACATCTAAGTGAAATGAGTTTTTTTTAAAAAGGTAGTCTTCAGGCTGTATGCGGTAGCTCACACCTGTAATCCTCACACTTTCGGAGGCCCCAGTGGGTGGACTACTTGACATCGAGAGTTCAAGACCAGCCTGGCCAACAATGGTGAAACCTTGTCTTTATTAAAAAATACAAAAATTAGCTGTGTGTGGTAGTACATGCCTGTATTCCCAGCTACCCAGGAGGCTGAGGCAGGAGAATCACTTGAACTTGGGAGGAGAAAGTTGCAAGTGAGCTGAAATCAACGCACTGCTCTCCAGCCTAGACAACAGAGCAAGAGTCCATTTAAAAAATAAAATAAAAAGATAGGCCAGGTGCGGTGGCTCACGCCTGTAATTCCAGCACTTTGGAAGGCCGAGGCAGGCAGATCACTTGAGATCAGGAGTTTGAGACCAGCCTGGCCAACATGGTGAAACCTCATCTCTACTAAAAATACAAAAATTATCTGGGTATGATGGTGCATGCCAGTAATCCCAGCTACTTGGGAGGGTGAGGCATGAGAATTGCTTGAACCTGGGAGGTAGAGCCTTCAGTGAGCTGAGATTGGGCCACTGCACTCCAGCCTGGGCAACAGAGTGAAACTCTATCTCAAAAAGAAATAAAAAAATAAAAAGATAATCTTCAGGTCAGGCACAGTGGCTCATGCCTGTAATCCCAGTATTCTGGGAGGCTGAGGTGGGAGGATTGCTTGAGCCCAGGAGTTGGAGACTGGCCTAAGCAACAATAAAAAAGAAAAGAAAGAGAAAAACAGTATAATTTAAAAATTGAAAGAAAAAAAAAAAAAGATAGTCTTCAGCTCTTTGCTTCTGGAGCTTACTGAAACTCATGGCCTCATGCTCCATGGAGTAGAGCCTGTGGTTGCCTCAGACCTCAGGAGGAAGCTCACTGGCAGCCAGGGCAGCAAAGGATAAGCAAACAGTGAGGCTAAGATAAAATGTGTGATAATGTAAAGCAACCAGGCAAGGGCACTGGAGTCAAGAGCCTGCCTGAGTTCCAGAAATAGCAGGGAGGGTGTGTTAAGATGGGAAGAGTGTGAGCAAAAGCAACACCCCCTGCCCCACCAGAGTGGCTGGCCTGACCTGTGTCAGCAGGGCTGGAGGGCCAAGCTCTGAACCAGCCACCCGCCCTTCTGCCCTGGCCTACCTCCTACTCTAGACTTCGTCCTGCCAGGACCTGCCCAGCTGCAAGTCCATAGTGCCAATTGTGCACCCTTAGACCCCTAGTGGCGGGCAGTACTTAGCTTTTTGTCCTGTCTCCTGGAATTCAGTATCCTTCATCAATGTCCCTTCTCCCACTTCCTGCCAGCAGGCACCAACCATACCACCTGCTCTAACCACTCCCTTTCTCCTGGTGAAGGACAAAGGGCTTTCAAGCCTCTCTGGGTTTCTCTGGAGTAGTCAGATCTGGGTAGACACACCTTCTACCTCGGAGAAGTCTTTGGCTCTGGAGAACAGAGTCCAGGAAACAGAAGGAGGCGGCGGCTGTCTGGGGCTTCCCAGAGAGTGAGCAGGAGCAAGCCTGTGCGTAGACACTCCATGTGCATCTTCATGAGTTTCAGTTTTGCCTCCCACTAGATATCTTTACAGCAGTGGGCGGGGGGTGGGGGTGGGGGTGGGAATCTTATTATTTCTCCTCTTCACTTTGCCAGCTCCAAACAGGGGCTGGGAGACTAACAGGGTGACCCAGGTAACCATGGGGGAGATTTCTGTTAATGGAGCAGCGGTAAGAGGAGGCAGCAAGTCTGAGACACTACCTAGAACAAAGACACGGAACTGCCCACAAGCCAGTACCTACTTAAATTACTGACTTCTCCAATAAATAATCACTGGCCAGGTCCGATGGCTCATGCCTACAGTCCCAGCACTTTGGGAGGCCGAGGCGGGACTGAGGTCGGGATTTTGAGACCAGCCTGACCAACCCGGAGAAACCCTGTCTCTACTAAAAATACAAAATGAGCTGGGCGTGGTGGCATATGCCTGTAATCCCAGCTACTCGGGAGGCTGAGGCAGGAAAATCACTTGAACCCAGGAGGTAGAGGTTGCTGTGAGCTAGATTCTGCCATTGCACTCCAGCCTGGGCAACAAGAGCAAAACTCCATCTCAAAAAACGAAACAAAACACCAGCAACAACAAAACAAAAAATAATCACTAAGTGCTTGCCTGCTGGGCCCCAGGTACAAAGTAGTGACAAAATGGAAACACTCCCATGCTGCCTGGAATCTGCAGTCTGGTTGGGAAGACAGCAGGCAAACCAGCAGATACACAATCACAAATGACCAGGGCAGCCCCCTAGAAACACAAGGGCCCCAAGAGATGGGGAGAGGACGCCACACTAATGCAAGACTGACAGGAGAAGGAGCCAGCCTGCAGAGTCGGAGGAGGCCACTCCAGGCAGATAAGGGTCACGAGGCAGAAAGAACTCATATCAGAAATCTCACATGAGCTTGCAGGTGATGAGGGCAGAAGGTACTAGGGCAGGCAGAGAGAGCCTGGACTGCATGGTGAGTGTGTGTGGGTTCCATGAGAGAGTTCTGGAAGAATATACCCCCTCACTCCCTTTTAATTTTTTTTTTGAGACCAAGTTTCACTCTTGTTGTCCAGGCCAGAGTGCAATGGTGCAATCTCAGCTCACTGCAACCTCCACCTCCCAGGCTCTAGCGATTCTCCCGCCTCAGCCTCCCGAGTAGCTGGGATTACAGGCACCTGTCACCACATCCGGCTAATGTCTATCTTTTTAGTAGAGATGGGGTTTCACATGTTGATCAGGCTGATCTTGAACTCCTGACCTCAGGCAATCCACTCGCCTAGGCCTCCCAAAGTGCTGGGATTACAAGCATGAGCTACCGCGCCCAGCCCCCTGCACTCGCTTCTGTTTTGAAACATCATGCTGGAGGCTGTGTCACCAAAGTGCCAATTGCAACACTAGTGCTAACTTTTACCATGCCAGGCACTTTCTGGCTCAGGTAATTGTCCCATTGTTCTCAGAGGCATCCCGTTTCACAGAAGAGGAAAACAGGGCTCTGAGTGGCCAATGGGAAAAATGGAGTGAGCGGTCATGTCCAGGCTACACTCGATGGCCTCTCAGGGACTCCTGGGTCCCTGGGTGCTATCATGAAAGAGAGGTAAGGACGGCTCAGTTGGGCTGGAAGTAGGAAATGGTGAGAAGTGGACAGATTCCAGAGACAGTGAAGTGGCAAAATGGACCTGGCTTAGTGTGGGATGTGATGTGTGGTGAGGGAGCTGAAGCTATAGGCTCCTGATGCAGGGGCTGTGCTTGGTGAGAGCTGCCTGAAGGACAGTGGCTTACAGAAGCTGGTGTGGTGCTCAGTCTTACCTAGGTTGCTGTCGATCTTCTGGTGATAGGCTCGAAGGTGTGGGTTCTTCGGGTAAGCATCAGTATTCACAGCAGAACCAGCCCCTCTAGGGATAGGGTCTAAGTTTAGAAGCAAACACCATGAGAGCAGTTACTTGACATTTCTTCAAATGCTGTTTCATATACCCAAAACAATTTCATCTGAAAAATGGGTGGAAGGAACGAGGGGGTTGGTTCTGAGGCCATCCAGACGGATGACGGAGGAGCACGGGGCAGGCTCATGGGTCAGAAGGAGAGACGCTTCCACAGGGCAAGGGAGGGTTACTGCTTTCCCTTAGTCCTTGGGAGATCAAAGACCCTCAACCTAAGGGTCACCTACTCAGACACTGGTGCACAAGCTCAGGAAAGAGAGTCACACAAGTGATGATATACCAGTGGAACTGCAATAACACAAAACTACATAGGCTGTGGACAAGGTCTAAAAATACTAATTGTTACGTTATAGAAATGGAAGTATGGGTAATTTTGTTTTTTTCTAAATTTCTACGCTATCTTTTCACTTGAAACAAGCAAAAAAGAAATGTTAACCCACACTTGCCCCGAGAAATCTTCCTTGAACTTCATTTTCTTCTTTACTAAAATTATCTTTCTCAGCTTGAATGAACTTTAGTTTCTAAATGCACACAGAAAAGCCCTATCATCCCAGTTATCTCTTTTGGGGAAATGTCACTTTCTAGACTTTGCATATTTCCTCCAGCATCAACCAACTGAAACCATTCTGCAAACTGTGTCAATTTTTTTTTTCAGTCTTTCAGGTTAATATATACCACACAAATGAAAACTCTCTTTAATTCCTTAAAATTGTGTCTTGGGTGAAGTGTCCTACAGCACTTCTCCAGGGTATGATGAGGCGGGTTTTCCCAGCCCTTGCCTTTCAATTTACACTCACTTCCTCCACTTGCATTTCCAGACTGAACTGTGCTGATGATGTCAGTCTCTCCTGCTCCCAGCTCTTCCTCCATCTGATCTCTCCTCAGCTGCATCAACCACAACCATGGTAGGTTCCAGAGTTTTCAAGGTGTGTTGTTTTCTTGAAGGCAGCAAAGTAAACCTTTGGTTTCCAACACCAATTTCAATGTACCTGGCTTTTGGGGGGCCTTTGGAGGAGGCCCCAGGAGTCTTAAATTCCTTTTCAGATAAGGAATGTTTCTGGGCTTATCACTTGATACAAGTGGGATAATTCAATCAACACTCACTGTCTTGCACATCTTGTTCATGTGGCTGCTGCTCCTCCTGCCTGGGCTGAAGGCTGTATTAGTCCCTCACTGATGTTGTGACAAATGACCACAAACTTGTCTTTCGGTTCTGGAGGTTGGAAGTCCAACATGGGTCACACTGGGCTGAGTCAGGGTGTCCTCAGGGTTGCACTCCTTCTGGGGCTCTTGGGAAGAATCTAATTCCTTGCCTTTTGCAGTTTCACTTACCTTCGTACCTTGGTAAGTGGCCCCTGTCTCCATCTTTAAGACCAGCAGCATCTTCAGATCTCTGACTCGGCCTCTCTCTCTTCTGTTTCCCTTTTCACTTAAAAATGACCTTTGTGATGACAATGGACCCAACTGGACAAAACAGGATAATCTTCCCATCTTGTTGATTAGCAGTTATAACTCCATCTGCAACTGTAATTCCCCCTTTGCCATATAATCTAACACACTCATGAGATTGGGGATTAGGACGTGGACAACTTTTGGGGCGACCATTATTCTATTTACCAAAGGGGTTTTTCTGTAGTCGGCTTTTTACTGCTGGAACAGCTGGAACAACTCAGAGCAACACAAGGCAGGAACCGATGGTGGGCAGGCTCATTTTCTTTTTTATTTTTTGAGATGGAGTTTCACTCTTGTTGCCCAGGCTGGAGTCCAATGGCGCAATCTTGGCTCACTGCAACCTCCGCCTCCCAGGTACAAGTGATTCTCCTGTCTCAGCCTCCCAGGTAGCTTGGATTACATGCATGTGCCATCATGCCCAGTTAATTTTTTTTGTATTTAGTAGAGATGGGATTTTATCATGTTAGTCAGGCTAGTTGTGAACTCCTGACCTCAGGTGATCCATCTGCCTCGGCCTCCCAAAGTGCTGGGATTACAGGCATGTGCTACCTCCCAAGGCTGGGCAGGCTCATTTTCAATCAAATGCAGGCCCCCACTTCCTTATTTTCCCCTCTATGGAGGGAGTGAAGGAGGGAGGTGCCCCACCATAACGCACACCCCCAGGTCCCCGAGAGCATGCTGGGTCCCTAAGGCCGTTCGGCTAGCATGGGTGATGCCAGCAGCTGGGGCCCCAGCCCACCTCCCCAGAGAGGTTGCCACTGCCTCCCAAGGACCAACACCAAACCTAGAGGTCTCCCCCAAGAATTCAAAAGTGGGTGTGCACACAGATCTCCACTCACCTGTATCATCCAGCTTTCTAAGGTTTGGGTGACTGGCCTGGTACTTTGCCTCCTGTTCTTTACTTGCACTTATGGCTTCTTTCAATCTTTGGATAAAAGTTTACAAAGAAAACTTTTAAAAAAGGAAAAGCCCCTATGACAGTGTTACCAATCTTTTCACATAATGCCTATGTGCTACAAATCAAATGCTTCCTCTGTGCCACACTCCTTCTGACCAAAGTAAGGATTTCAACAGCTTCTCCCAGGAGCACAGTTGGTTGTGCAGTAAGCTTATGAATATCCCTGACTTAGATAACACCTGCCTCAGAAGTGTGGCAACTAAGGTATGTGTGGTGTCTCATGCCTGTAATCCCAGCCCTTTGGGAAACTGAGGTGGGAGAATTACCTGAGCTCATGAGTGTGAGACCTGGGCAACACAGTGAGACATTGCAGCATCAAGTAGCACTGAGTTAGGTGGCCCCCCCTCTCAGAGAAACCAGGATTCCTAGGACCAGGCAGATGAAAAGCACATGAAACAACCAAACGGGTACTTTAGACCATGGTCAGCAAACAGTGAATGACCTGCCGACCTCTGTTTTTTATTATTTCCCAGTTCTTTTTTTTTTTCCTGGCCCACCTCTTGTTTTTGTATTATTTCCCAGTTTTTTTTTTCCTTTTTTGAGATGGAGTCTTGCTTTGTTGCCCAGGCTGGAGTGCAGTGGCATGATCTTGGCTCACTGCAACCTCTGCCTCTCGTTCAAGTGATTCTCCTGCCTTAGCCTCCCAAATAGCTGGGATTACAGGTGCGTACCACCATGTCCGGCTAATTTCTGTATTTTTAGTAGAGACAGGGTTTCACCATCGTGGCCAGGCTGGTCTTGAACTCCTGATCTCAAGTGATCCACCCAACTTGGACTCTCAAAGTGTTGGGATTACAGGCATGAGCCACTGCACCCAGTCTCAAGTTATTTTTATTGTGGTAAAATACACATAACAAAATTTCACCTGTTTTTATATAACCATGAGCAAATAAGGGCCTTACAGATGACCATCTGAACCTCAGATGATGAATTTTGAATTTTAAGGGTTTCATTCTTCTCAAGAGTGCACTTATATTACCAAAACACTGTACTCAACTATTACTGTTTTTGTTGTTGTTTGAGATAGGGAGTACAGCAGCGCAAAAACTGAAGTCTCTAACTCCTAGGCTCAAGTGATCCTCCCATCTCAGCCTCCCAGGTAGCTGAGACCAAGCACTTACCACCCTGCCTGGTGAATTTTTTTTTTTTGAGACAGTCCCGCTCTGTTACCTAGGCTGGAGTGCAGTGGCGTGATCTTGGCTTACTGCAGCCTCCACTTCCCATGTTCAAGCAATTCTCCTGCCTCAGCCTCCCAGGTAGCTGGAATTACAGGTACCCGCCACCATGCCCAGCTAATTTTTGTATTTTTAGTAGAGACGAGGTTTCACCATGTTGGCCAGGCTGGTCTCAAACTCCTGACCTCAGGTGATCCGCCCACCTCAGCCTCCCAAAGTGCTGGGATTACAGGTTTGTGTCACCACACCAGGGCAATTAAAAAAATTTTTTATTTTTGAGACAGTCTTGCTCTGTCACCCAGGGTGGAGTGCAGTGGCATGATCTCGACTTACTACAACCCTCCACCTCCTGGGTTCAAGCTATTCTTCTGCCTCAGCCTCCTGAGTAGCTGGGATTACAGATGCATGCCACCATGCCCAGCGAATGTTTTATATTTTTAGCACAGATGGCGTTTTACCATATTGGTCAAGCTAATCTTGAACTCCTGACCTCAAGTGAGCCACCTGACTTGGCCTTCCAAAGTGCTGGGATTACAGGTGTGAGCCACTGTGCCGGGTCTAATTTTTAAAAACTTTTTGTAGAAATGGGTCTTGGCCGGGCGTGGTGGCTCAAGCCTGTAATCCCAGCACTTTGGGAGGCCGAGGCAGGTGGATCACGAGGTCAAGAGATCGAGACCATCCTGGTCAACATGGTGAAACCCCGTCTCCACTAAAAATACAAAAAATTAGCTGGGCATGGTGGCGTGTGCCTGTAATCCCAGCTACTCAGGAGGCTGAGGCAGGAGAATTGCCTGAACCCAGGAGGCAGAGGGTGCGGTGAGCCGAGATCGCGCCATTGCACTCCAGCCTGGGTAACAAGAGCGAAACTCCGTCTTAAAAAAAAAAAAAAAAAAAAAAAAAAGTAATGGGTCTCACCAGGTTGCCCAGGCTGGACTTAAACTCCTTGAAATGAAGTGATCCTCCTGCCTCAGCCTCAAAAAGTGCTGGGATTACAGACATGAGCCACTGTGTCCAGCCTATTATTGTTTTTATATTTTGAATTTGTCACCAAAAAGTTGTGAAAATATGTTTTTTTCTCATCATGTAAGTCCCTATAAAATATCTTTGATTTTGCTCCATGGCCTAGTTTCCTAACACTGGCTATAGAAAGGGACACCTCTTGCAACTCAAAGTCATTTAGACTGTGCCTGATGCCCTAATTTTTCTATTTTTAGTAAAGATGGGGTTTCACCATGTTGGCAGGATGGTTTCGATCTCATCCTGCTGAGCCCTCCAAGGTGTGGCAGGTGCCTCCAGCTAGGAGCTGTGCCTCTCCAATAGCCTGCTCTTCTCCATCTCAACAGCAGCCTGACCACTTCACCAGCCAAGCTGGGAACCATGGTTACTTGCAATTTTAGCCCTCGCACAGTGCTACTCCCAGCAATCCAGGCAAAACAAACAGCCCCCCTCCTTTTTTTTTTTTAAAGATGGAGTTTTGCTCTTGTTGCCCAGGCTGGAGGGCAGTGGCATGATCTCGGCTGACTGCAACCTCCACCTCCCAGGTTCAAGCGATTCTCCTACTTCAGCCTCCTGAGTAGTTGGGATTACAGGTATGCACCACCACACCCAGCTAATTTTGTATTTTTAGTAGAGATGGGGTTTCTCCATGTTGGTCAGGCTGGTCTTGAACTCCTGACCTCAAGTGATCTGCCTGCCTCAGCCTCCCAAAGTGCTGTGATTACAGGCGTGAGCCACCATGCCTGGCAACAAATACCCTCTTGATATCCCACCCTCCAGGTATCCCAGAAACCCAGTTTCTCCTTCTGCGTTTTTTTTTTTGAGACAGAGTCTTATTCTGTCATCAGGCTGGAGTGCAGTGGCGCGATCTCAGCTCACCGAAACCTCCACCTCTCGAGTTCAAGTGACTCTCCTGCCTCAGCCTCACAAGTAGCTGGGAATACAGGCACACGCCACTACACCCAGCTAATTTTTTGTATTTTTAGTAGAGATGGGGTTTCACCACGTTGGCCAGGATGGTTTCCATCACTTGACCTCGTGATCTGCCCGCCCTGGCCTCTCAAAGTGCTGGTATTACAGGAGTGAGCCACTGCACCCGGCCAAGAAAGCCAATTTCTAGGGACAGCGAGAGAAATGATAAGAAAGTAGAGAAGGGTGGAGTGGCTCATGCCTGTAATTCCAGCACTTTGGGAGGCTGAGGCAGGTGGATTATCTGAGGTCAGGAGTTTGAGACCAGCCTGACAAACATGGCGAAGGCCTGTCTCCACTGAAAATACAAAATTAGCCAGGCCTGGTGGCACACACCTGTAATCCCAGCTACCTGGAAGGCTGAGGCAGGAGAATCGCTTGAACCCGGGAGGCGGAGGTTGCAGTGAGCTGAGATCGTGCCACTGCATTCCAGCCTGGGCAACAAGAGTAAAGCTCCATCTCCAAAAAAAAAAAGACAGAAGTTTAAGAAGGTGGTTCCTGGTCAGAAACCAAGTCTTACATAAGTTAGAGAATTTCAAATTAGGGGTAGTTAAATCTGTGACAGGAACACATGAGCTTTAAGTGGAAATGAGAACAAGCAGCGTGGAAAGCTGTCAGCAAGGACAAATAGGGCTTCCCAAGAGATAAAACTTCAGAGAAGGCCAGACAGTTTGTGTGATAATGGTGTACACAGGAAATGCATGACTAAATACAAGTTTGATTAGGAGAAACTTACTTTAAAAGCTTTTAAGTGGGCCAGGCACAACGGCTCACACCTGCAATCCCAGCACTTTGGGAGGCTGAGGTGGGAGGATCAGTTGAGCCCAGGAGTTCAAGACCAGCCTGGGCGACATAATGAGACCTTGTTTCCACAAAATATATGAAAATTAGCTGTGCCCGGTAGCGACGCCTATAGGCCCAGCTACTTGGGAGGCAGAGGTGGGAGGATTGCTTGAGCCTGGGAGATGGAGGATAATGAGGAGAGATTGCACCACTGCACTCTAGCTTGGATGACAGAGCGAGACTCCATCTCCAAACAAAATAAAACAAAACACTTCTATGTTTGTAGAGACAGGATCTTACTATGTTGCCCAGGCTGGTCTTGAACTCCTGGCCCCAAGTAATAATCTCACCTTGGCCTTCTAAAATATAGGGATAACAGGTGTGGGCCACCACGCCTGGCCCTGCTAGGCCCTTGAAATGGCCAACAACTTCCTTCATCCCAGCTTCCCCTGTACTTTAACTGACTTGTCTGCACCAACCCCCTCCTTCAACTGGCGGTTTCCCTCAAAATCTTCACCCTCTGCAAAAGGTCAGGTCCTCTGTGCTGCCTTCCTCTGTTCCCAGGACCAATCTCCCTTTCCTCTGGGCCCTAACTGCAACCCTGTGGACTGTCTGCCTCCCCCACATCTTCTAACAGACAGACTGCATTCCTGCAGCTACTACCCCCATAGAACCGCAGAATGTGGGTGAAAGTTTTGCTTTCTTGAATTTACTGAGATGGCAAGAATGCTACAAGTGATTGGGGCTTATCTAGGGGCAGAAGGCCAGGCAGGGTAGATGACTTTGGGGGACCTTGAAGCCCACCTCACTGAAATAACTATGGCTGCCTCACTGATGGGAAGTCTCTGTTGGGAAGTCCTTGAGTTTCCAAGAAGCTTTAAAAAAACAAAACTGCCCTTGGAGCCACAGGACTTGCATGGCTTTTATAGCTATGTTCAGAGATGCAGGGGCCTCCAAGAGCCCCAGAAGCAGCCTTTGTGAAGAGGCATGCAAGATGTGAAAGGGTGCTAGACACAAACTTGCCAGCTTCCCACTTCTCCAAGGGCTTACTTCTGAGTCTGTACGTGGAGGATATGTAAGTCCAAAACAAATGAACATCCTACCTTCTCTTACAGCAATTAAATGTGGCCAAAGATTAGGATATAAAATACTTTCTGATGTGAATATTGAAAAAAACAAACTACTACAATTGGAGGGAAATGACAAATATTTAAAATTATGGTTGAATTGGAAAACCCAGAATGGTGATTGTGGCTGAGCCAAAAAAACAAACCAACTCTTATAACCTTAGCTAGTGCCTCCCAAGGGCACTCGCTGAGGCCTGCAGGTTCCCAGCCAACTCTGCAGGTACTTCCTGCAGGTTCCTCTCCCTAAGTCTTTTTGTTTGTTTGTTTGTTTTGAGACAGGATCTCACTCTGTCACTCAAGCTGGAGTACACTGGTGTAATCATGGCTCACTGCAGCTTCAATCTCCCTGGGTTCAGGTGATGCTCCCACCTATGCAAAAGGTCAGGTCCACCTCAGCCTCCTGAGTAGCTGGGACCACAGGCATGTACCACCATGTTTGGCTAATTTTTGTGTGTGATTTTTTTTTTTTTTTTGAGACAGAGTCTCACTGTTACCCATGCTGAGGTGCAGTGGTGCAATCTCTGCTCACTCCAACCTCTGCCTCCCAGGCTTAAGGGATTCTCCTGCCTCAGCCTCCTAAGTAGCTGAGACTACAGGCAAGTGCCATAGCGCCTGGCTAATTTTTGCATTTTTAGTAGAGAGGGGGTTTTACCATGTTGGCCAGGCTGATCTCAAATGCCTGACCTCAAATGATCCACCCGCCTTGGCCTTCCAAAGTGCTGGGATTATAGGCATGAGCCACCATGCCCAGCCTTACTTTTGTGTTTTTTGTAGAGATGGGGTTTTGTCATGTTGCTCAGCTGGGCTCAAGTGATCCTCCTGCCTCAATCTCCCAAACTGCTGGGATTACAGGCATGAGCCACCATGCCTGACCCTCTCCCTAAGTCTTGATGGCTTCACCTGCCTGTTCTTCCTGCTATCACCACCAGCTTTGTTACCTACACTGGTTTCTCCCAAGCCCCACTCTGAGCTTGAAGTAATTATCTAATTTCCTCCCTACCACACCCTACATCTTGATCTGGGCGGTGGCCACACTAGTGTACACAGGTTCACATTCACTGGCTCTCCACTTAACATGCATGCATTTTTACTGTACCTTAGTGATGCATTAAAAAAAAAAATGCTCTGCAGTTAGGTGTGGTGGCTCATCCCTGTAATCCTAGCACTTTGAGAGGTCAAGGTGGGAGGACTGCTTGAGGCCAGGAGTTCAAGACCAACATTGCAAGACCTCATCTCTTAAAAAAGAAATAAAATTATAGAATTCAAACAGAGAGGCTGGGCACGGTGCCTCATGCCCATAATCCCAGCACTTTGGGAGGCTGATTATCTGAGGTCAGAAGTTCGAGACCAGCCTGGCCAACATGGAGAAACCCCGTCTCTACTAAAAATGCAAAAATTAGCCAGGCATGGTGGTGCATGCCTGTAATCCCAGCTACTTGGGAGGCTGAGGCAGGAGAGTTGCTTGAACACAGGAAGCGAAGATTTCAGTGAACCAAGACGGTGCCACTATACTCTAGCATGGGCAACAGAGTCAGACTCTGTCTCAAAAAAAAAAAAAAAAAAAAAAGTCTGGGCCTGGTGCCTCATGCCTGTAATCCCAGCAGTTTAGGAGGCCAAGGCGGGTAGATCACCTGAAGTCAGGAGTTCGAGACCAGCCTGGCCAACATGGTGAAACCCCATCTCTACTAAAAATACAAAAACTAGCTGGGCATGGTAGTGGGCACCTGTAATCCCAGCTACCTGCAAGGCTGAGGCAGGAGAAAAGGTTAAACCTGAGAGGCAGAATTTGCAGTAGGTGGAGACTGCAGTGAGCCGAGATCGCGCCATTGCACCCTAGCCTGGCAAGAGGAGTGAAACTCCATCTCAAAAATAAATAAATAAATCAAATGTGGGGGTGGGGTTAGGGAACCTCAGTAATCACATAATAGCAAACATTTTTTTCTGGGTTAAATGGAAGAAAAAGGCTACCAAACCAAAAGATTACAACTATGAAAATACTGAATAAGGAGAAAAATTAAATTTTCTGTTTTTGTGTTGTGGTAGGTATAGTATAGACTATAATATGGTCATATTGTTTTTATAATAAAAAGTCACAATCATCTGAAATACCAATGGTAGTAATCTATTTTAGCAGCAACTCCATTTCTTTATCCATGAACAAGTAACACTTAAGTCTGCCAAAATTTCATGTATGTTTTTATTACATTTTGAGCCAAAACTTGAGGAAAGCAATTTCTAACTTTTTTAATTATTTAGTTTTAAATTTTTTTTTTTTTTTAAGACAGAGTTTCGCTGTTGTTACCCAGACAATGCAGCCTCCACCTCGTGGGTTCAAGCAATTCTCCTGCCTCAGCCTCCCGAGTAGCTGGGACTACAGGCGCACACCACCATGCCCAGCTAATTTTTGTATTTTTAGTAGAGACGGGGTTTCACCATGTTGACCAGGATGGTCTCGATCTCTTGACCTCATGATCCACCCGCCTCGGCCTCCCAAAGTGCTGGGATTATAGGCGTGAGCCACTGTGCCCGGCCTAATTTTTTTTTTTTTAAGACGGAGTCTTGCTCTGTTGCCCAGGCTGGAGTGCAGTGGCATGATCTTGGCTTACTGCAACCTCTGCCTCCTGGGTTCAAGCAATTCTCCTGCCTCAGCCTCCCAAGCAGCTGGGACTACAGGCGCACGCCACCACAACCAGCTAATTTTTTGTATTTTTAGTATAGACAGGGTTTCCCCATATTGGCCAGACTGGTCTCAAACTCCTGACCTCATGATCCACCCACTTTGGCTCCCAAAGTGCTGGGATTACAGGCGTAAGCCATCACATCTGGCCTTTTTTTTTTTTTTGACAGGGAGACTATCACTGAGGCTGTAGTGCGATGGCACCATTGTAGCTCACTCCAGTCTCTAACACCTGGGCTAAAGCGATCCTTCTACCTCAGTCTCCCCTGTAGCTAGGACTATGGGCCCGTGACTTTTTTTTTTTTTTTTTTGAGACAGGGTCTCCGTCTGTAGCCCAGGTTGGAGTGCAGTGGCACCATCACGGCCCACTGCAGCCTTGACCCCCAGTCCTCAAGAGAGCCTCTTACCTTAGCCTCCTAAGTAGCTGGGATTACTGGTGTCCACCACAATGCTTGGATACTTTTTGTAAAGACAGGGGTCCCACTATATTGCCCAGGCTGGTCTTGAACTCCTAGGCTTAAGTGATACACCCACCTTGGCTTCCCAAAGTGCTGGAGTGACAGGCATGAGCCACTGGACTTCTTTTTTTTTTTTTTTTTGGGACAGAGTCTCACTTTGTCACCCAGGCTGGAGTGCAGTGGCACAATCTTGGCTTACTGCAACCTCTGCCTCCTGGGTTCAAGCAATTCTCCTCTCTCAGCCTGCTTAGTAGCTGTGATTGCAGGCGTGCACCACCATGCCCACCTAATTTTTTCTATTTTAGTAGAGATGGCGTTTCACCATGTTGGTCAACTCCTGACCTTGCGATCCGCCCCACTTGTCCTCCCAAAGTGCTGGGATTATAGATGTGAGCCACCGCACCCAGCCCCTAAAGACTTTTTAAAGCAAAAATTATGTAAAGTGAGTCACTTTGTACTGATTATGCTCTCTGAGGTGAACACCCTCTCTTTCAGAGTAGTGGGGTCACAATTATTGGAGAAGCAACTGACAGACTAGATGTCAAACAAATGAATATAGGAACAGGGAAGAATAGCTCCTGGTTTCACAATGTTTGAGGACAAATCCCCCGATGAGTAACTTAAAGGGCTGCTAAATCTGTTTATGGCACGGATGTGTGAAAGTCTTGGTCATTTACACTACACCCCACTTCTGCTCCCTTATACCCAGATGGTAGAAGACACACTCACCTGCTGTTGGGCTGGGAAATGAGGGTGCCATTATGTTCAACTGAGGTCTCTGCTGGTTTGGATTTGAAGTAATTGACAAATCCCCCAAACACACTCTTAATGTTATTGATGTGTTTCTGGCTGATCTTCAAATCTTGGTCCATCTTGTCCACCATCTTCTCTGTGCGCTCCAGGACTCCTCGCTGACGGGCAAGCTCCTGAGGAAACCGAGAGGCAGTGGCATTATAGCTTTGTGACCTCTCCCCCAGGGCAGTCAAGGAATACATGCAGCAGCCACTTCATAAACTCTCAGTGGGCACATCTGGAGGTGGGTGATCTCGTCTGTGAGGGGACACGACCGTTTCCAACAAGTTCCTCTGCCTCTCCCTCCCTGCCCTACCTCTGCTTGCTTTCCTCATTTGTTCGTGACACCCTTTTCCTGAGAGGTTGGCTCATGGTGCCATGTTAAGATGGATGGCAGAAGCCAGGTGTAGTGGCTTACATCTGTAATTCCAGCACTTTGGGAGGCCGAGGCAGGCATATAACAAGGTCAGGAGTTCAAGACCAGCCCGGCCAACATGGTGAAACCCCGTCTCTACTAAAAATACAAAAATTAGCAGGGCATGGTGGTAGGTTCCTGTAATCCCAGCTACTCAGGAGGCTGAGGCAGGAGAATTGCTTCAACCCGAGAGGTGAAGGTTGCAGTGAGCCGGGATCACACCATTGCACTTCAGCCTGGGTGTCAGAGCAAGACTCTCAGAAGCAAAACAAAACAAAACATGGAAGGCAGTGTACCTGTGAGGGTCAGAGTCCAGGGCCTGAACTGCAACCAGACTCTCTCTAGCCCCTAAACTCGGGGAACCCTCATAGGCTTGGGCCTGGCACTGACCCCTGGACTCTGGTTCTTACATTCTTTAGAAAGTTCCCACTTTAGGAGTTCCCACTGGGCCACCTGAACCTCCTGGCCATGGTCAAATCCTCAAATTCGATTTCAGGTACCAGTGTCTTCTCTGGGCCCTATTAGTGTCTGACTCCAGTCCACCCACAGTTCCAGCTTTAAAACCTGTTATCATGGGTGACCCTGTCCCAAGGCCTTTGCACGTACCACTGTCTCTGCCTGTAATCTCTGCCAGATAACTTGTATAGCTCAGCCTCTCATCCCTCATCCAACTAGGGTCTCCACTCAAAGGCCACTCTCTCAGAGAAGCCTTCCCAGACATCTTCCCTAAAGGAGAACTCCTTCCAACCACCACCCCTCCTCTCCACCTTTTTTTTTTTTTGAGATGGAGTCTTGCTCTGTCACCCAAGCTCAGAGGTTCTCACTGCAACCTCCACATCCTGTGTTCAAGAGATTCTCCTACCTCAGTCTCCTAAGTAGCTGAGATTCCAGGCGCCTGCTACCACACCCAGCTAGTTTTTTATATTTTTAGTAGAGATGGGGTTTCATCATGTTGGCCAGGCTAGTTTCGAACTCCTGACCTCAGGCAATCCACCCAACTCAGCCTCCCAAAGTGCTGGGATTCCAGGTGTGAGCCACCGCACCCAGCCTCTCTTTTCTTTATGGCATATGAGCTTCATGAGGCAGGGACTTGCTCTGTTCACTGCTGAGTCTCTGCAAATCTGCCCAGTGGTTCTCGTTGTGAAAATATACTCACCACAACATCAACACTACCACTTTCCTTTATTCATGACAAACTTGCTTCAGTCCCTAGTTCAGGACTGATCTACAGCTGTGGCCCATCTGTGAGCTGTCTTTCCAGCCAGAAGGCTCTCGAGCTTCATTTCTCCTGCTCTCCCCTCAGCTGCCTTCCTCTAAATCTGCTATCCATGCATCACCCTGTGGCTTAGCAATTACACTATGCAATTGTTTTTTAGAGATATTCTCTCTTGATACCTAAAAACAAAGTCAAAAAAATTTTAAAGATACATCCTGGAAATCCGAAGAGCAAAATGCAACTATAAATAAATGGTCGTGGCTTCCTTAGAGTCCTTAAGGAATCGATGTGTAACCCGAGTCCTTTGTTTAGTGGGTGAAATTTAAAAACATAATGTATAGGCAAAAAGCTAAAACACTGGTTGAATTTACTATTAAACTCTGTTTAACTTTTGCTGGAAATAAACTTCGAACTGCCAAATTTTATAGTTTCCAACATTTGTTTTTCACTAGTTGACAAGACATATCTAAACAAACCATGAGGCTTTTTTAAGTAAAAAGAAAAATGTTTTCTGGACTGTGTCACTCAATATGTCAAGCAAATCTTGCAAGGGCTAGTTTTCAAAAGAAAAAAGAGCGGCTGGACGCGGTGGCTCACGCCTGTAATCCCAGCACTTTGGGAGGCCGAGGCGGGTGGATCACTAGGTCAGGAGATCGAGACCATCCTGGTCAACATGGTGAAACCCCATCTCTACTAAAAATACAAAAAATTAGCTGGGCATGGTGGCGCGTGCCTGTAATCCTAGCTACTCAGGAGGCTGAGGCAGGAGAATTGCCTGTTCCCAGGAGGAAGAGTTTGCGGTGAGCCAAGATCATGCCATTGCACTCCAGCCTGGGTAAAAAGAGTGAAATTCTGTCTCAAAAAAAAAAAAAAAAAAAAAGGGCTGATAATGTATCTGGCGTTTCTGCTTCTTCCATCACCTCGTTTATCATCTTCATGTCCATACTGTGGTCTTTTCTGGAATAAGGCAGGGCTATACATTAGGATTAAAGGGATTTTCTTCAGCATCTATATGTTTTTCTGACAGTCCAGTTCCAGCTTGCTTTGCAGGCTGCAGAAGATGGAAGAATCTGTAGCTGGAAAGACATTCAGAGCAGCCAAGCTGGGGACTGGGGGCTGAAGGCATGGCCAAGGCTCTGCAGCAGTCACATTAGGAGGGGGTCATCAGTTTCCCTGATGGCAGGACCAACCCATGACCACTCACCCTCCCACCCTGACCTTCTCATCTCAATTCGGAGAGCTACCTTCCCCAGTATGGACTTATTTTCTCCTATTCACAAGTGACATGTTCTCTCAAACTCTCAGAGTCTGTGCTACCGTTAGGGAAACCAGACAGCTGATTCAGATGCTTAGCTAGAAGCAGAGAAATATGTGAGGGTGGCTTGTCTTACATGTGAGGCTGAAAGGCCAGGGGAGTGCTGCTCTGGCCTCTGGAAGTTTCTGTTTGCTGGAAGCTAGTGTTCACTGGAGGTCATGAGGCCAGCAAGGGAGGAGCTGTTTCTTCTGCTAAAATCCACCCCCAGAAGGCAGAGGAAATGACCAGACTCAATGTACTTGTGACCTAGTTCCAACCAATGAGGAAGAAGAGCTGGACAGAGCAAACACCAAAATACTAGGGAAGAGAACACTGACAGTCTGTAAGCACAAGCCAGGCAGGCGCTTGTGCCCCAGCTATCACCAAGACAGGCCTCAACTGCTCTGAGTCCTGAGGCATGCTCATACCTGCCCTCTGTGGAGCCATGGTGCATCCTCTCCATCTGCCTCTAGTCCCTGAAGGGACTTGAGTGCTATGAGGGGAGTGAGCTCCGCAGGTACCCTTGGCGTAGTAAAGGACGCACATGGAAAGTGCTTCCTTGTTTCAGTGATTACTAAGCATTACAGGTAATGCCCTTCTTACTTCTTACTCCCCTTAGCCCCAACAAGAGTTCTCTAAAGTTAAACTGGAAAAAAAAGATGGTGGGAGAAAGGGTCTGGTTGGGCTGGTGGTACATGCCAAGAGATGAGAGAGACAGTGAGCTTCTCAACTCTTTGGCGTGTGGCTTTTTGTCAAGTACAGGGATCTCCAATAGAGCAGGGGGAAGACAGACAAAGACCCTGTGAGGGCATCTACTGCCTGAAGTATGGGTCATGTCATGGGCACTGTGAGGGCCTGAAGGCGTCAGGGCTTCCTTGCTGGCAGAGTGCTTCTTGAAAACACACACACACAGTGACAGGTGTTGCGAGATCTCTGCCCCCAGGTGCTGAGCACCTGCTCTCTGCCTAGCATCCTTCCAGGTGCTAGGGATTCAAGGGTCCACAATCCTGTTGGTGTTTACAGTCTGACAAGAGGGCAAGATGAGTGAGGTTCAAACTGAGTTTTTCATTTGTTGACAACATTGCGGTGCTGGGAGTTCAAGAAAGGCAGATGGGTCCTTGCTTCACTGAGCTTACAGTCTTGTGGAGGAGGCAGAAAATAAGGCGATTGTGCACGCACGTGCACGCGCGCGCACACACACACACACACAGTCATCCGCTCCCAGAATACTCTTTGCCCAGCTTAAGGTGGGGGTCAGGGAGGTTCCCTGCTGAGGTTGGAGAAGAGACTGAGAAGTTAGGCAGTCAAAAACTTGGGGGTCCTGTCCATTTGGACTTAAATTTTCTTTTATTTTCTTTTCTTTTAGCAGCTTGAAGGAAGGATGGACTTAGTTTTCTTAAAAACAAACCACAACAAAGAGTTGGGATGGGGCAAGGGCACCAGGCAGAGGATGCAGCTTGTGTAGGGGCAGAGGAACTGTGTGGGGAGTGGGCAGGGCTATCCACAGGACTCGGCAGGGAACACCCACAGGATGTCACTAAGGCCTTCAAAAGGCAGCAGTGACTACCAGATCCCAACTGCAATTCTCAGCCAACACATCTAGAAATTTGAAATTTATATCTGTTCTGTCTCTCCCTTCCCAAAGGAGTGTGCACAGGCACAAGCCCTGGCAGGGACACATGAACACCCAAGACACATGCTCAAACTCTGGGCTCTGTCTGACTGTGGCAGCCAGAGTATGGGGTCAGAGGCAACGGGGTCTTAGGGTGCAGAAAAAACCACCAAGGGCAAAGGCAGTAGAGCTGGTGCCCCTCACTGCCTGTGTGCAGGCTGACCTGGGGCTGAGTAAAAGGCCAGCTCAGCAGGTCTGGGATGTCCATACACTCCACATTCCAAAGAAAGCTCTGGTCCTAGCCCGGTTCCTTGTTTTTGGAATATCCTGCCTGATAAGACTGTCCTTGTTTACGTGAGACTAAGCTTAGGCCCGGCTAACAAAGTGATATATGATGGTGGCCTTAGGCTTCACATTATTAGCTTGACCTCTAGAGAGGGTTGGAGACTATACTCAGTCATGCCTATGTGACAGACTCCAATAAAAACTCTGGACACCCAAGGTTAAGTGAGGGTTGGCAATACTCTGTATGTGTTGTCACACACTGCTTGGAGAAATAAGTGTCCACATGACTCCATGGGGAGAGGACAACTGGAA